TCTTCTTCAGAGGAGCAGTGGTCGTGTAGGCAGCGACATCGTAGGTACTGGTGGTGAGGTCAATCTCGGGACCTGTTACTTGTTCATTCTCTGGAATTTTCTCGAATTCTCCATATGCTTTATCTTGTTTACTTTCTTTCACGGGTTTCTTCCCTTCCTCCTCAGATTTAGTTATCTTTTCCATCTCCAGCTTCTCCGCGTGAACATTTTCATCTTTCTCCTTACTCCATGCCGCTTCGCTCATGAGAAACGTTCTTGAAGTAGTGATATCCCCAAATTTGGAACATGCTGTCTTTTCTTCTTCTTTGAGTATTATCTCCTCTGTCATTGTGGTTACCACTTCCATATCCTTTTCGTTTTCATCCTTCCACTCTGCTGGTTTCTCACTTTTTGTCTCCTGAATATGTTAGATTCTGCCTCGGATTATTTTGAAGTGTAGTGCTCTGTGGTGTATGAATGAATTGATAAACATTGATCTGTGTGGTTGTCTCTACCTCACCCTACCCATTTATCCCCTACGAAATTGTTTTGTTCTCGCATATCGAAGTGCTTCTTGGCTGTTATGATGTTTCACTAAATTCACGTTTATTGAAAATTAAGTACTATGTACGATACTTTGTGAAAGCGGGTATCGATCGAAGGTTTTTCATACTCCAAGTTCTTAAATTTCCCAATTCTCATATGTTTGATGACTTTTCTTAGACTCGAAGCTAAAAGACGTACCTTTTGCTGGGTGATATCTTCCAGCTCGCTTTTTACTTTTCTTGTCACTGTCGCACTAGTACTACATATTCCGTGCTCGTTTTTCGCAGTGCAGGAAACATATGTTGTTCCTATTTTCAGGTTCTTAATGGAGAAAATGCCAATGCCATCCTCGTATATCACGCTTTCTCCCCTTAAAATAATGTTTTGATACTTCAACAATGTCTATCTGCCAATCACTGTAGTTCAAAGCAAAGTACGTTATAAATTTTAGTGTTATTCAACTTACTCCATCCCACTAACAACCATGCCGTCCACAATCCATAGTAATGTTGCAGCTGGTGATGCAACAACCACCACTCGCAATGTTATCGAATCCTTCTCCGTAGACTGATCATGCAACGGATGGGCAAAGTAAGGTTTTTGTGATGCAAGGGTCGACATCTTTGCCACGACACAGTGACATTCTGCAGTTCCTCTCGTGTTTCTTGCACAGCATTTGATGTCATGAGAGGACTTTGTGGTTCGGATGTTCAACTGAGCCACGCCATCAACAATTGTTGTTCTGTAAGCAAAACATTTCTCTATCCGTTATCTTCCACCTTTACTAGGTATTGTTGAAAATTTAGGTTTCAGGTGGCCCATTGCCGGCTAATGTGGTGACTGAGTCTTTCAATTATTACCATCCTACTTATATAATCGGCTAAGTGTGTCTGTTGGTGTGTTTGTGTGTGTAAGTATGTGTGTGTGTCTGACCGGAAATTCATAACTCCTGTC